TATAGTACAGTACCAGTCAAAAGTTTGGACACTTTCCCATTCGTGTGTCCAAACATTTGACTGGTAGTATATATTAGGGCTGTGCTGGTACGAGCATCGGTACTGAACGGTTCACGGGCAAATTCCAAATGGAAGTGATCATCCCTATCCCCTTGGAGTGGGGACTTTGGAGTGAGCAGTGTATGCACGTGCCATTATGTAGTTGTTTGGAATGCACTTGGCAAAAGGAGCGATGTCATTTCCTCATTATCTTCAACTGGGATTTTCCCGTGACAATGCAGCACGGTGTCCGTAAGCAGATTCGTTGATGGACACCGGCATAAAAAATACATACATTTTATATTTTAAAAAGTTATATATATATATTAGATTTTAAATATTATATAGCTTATTTTAAAAACTTTTTAAAATATAAAATGTATGTTTATTTACAACAGATATGCTAACAATAAAAAAAAAGACATTTATGACAGTAAAAAAGCGACATCTGCTGACGGACACCGTGCTGAAGTGTCAGAAGTGTGGGTATTCGTGTCGAATTTTATTATATTATTAATGTAGACATGTATTAAATATATTGAAGGAGGAGTAACGGAATATAATTACAGTATTTTTTTGTGATTAAGCTATAGCGTTTATGCATTTATAAATTTATTTAGACTAATGTTTCTCATAAATACCTACAAGCCATAGAAAATTTTTACCATGGTATTGAGGTGCTATATATGTGGTTTTAACTGTGATTATCATGATCTAAATGTATGTTATGGAAGACCAATGGTTAAAAAAACACCTTAAACAGTCAGAATAATTAAATTTCACCATATAAAAATGAGATTGCTACAATTTTTACAGATATTACTGATTTTGGTAATGAACATAAATCTACATCTGCATCCTAACTCAAGCTACTATCAAATATGTATTTCAAAGAGACAAAAAAAATGTTAATTAAAATGTAATTAATATTATCAGGCAACACAAACTTGTTTCTTGATTTGAAACAATATTACTAGAACATGCAGAACTAAGAAATTATTTTTTTCTATTAAGATATTTATTTTGTTAAAGTCCACCTGTAGTGAAAATTTTTGTTTTGTTTATGTTTTGTTGTTTATTTGTCTATGTGGTGTTTTTAATATGCTTTTAGACAAACCATGTGCCAATCTATTAATCAACACCATTGCTGAGTATTTTCTCATTAAACTGGAGTTTCTCAATGGCAGTCCCAGAAATGCGGTTTGAAACAGCCCTTGGTTTGCTACGTTACAATCCAATAACCAATCATGTCAAGGGATCACTAGCATGCAAAATATACCAATACCAGCACAAAACCAAAAATAGAGCAAAAAACCCATGAAGCTGTGGTTTAATGTGAATTTAGAACTACTTAGAGCCCACCTCTCCCGCATCGGCGTCTGCACTTCACACGGGCGCAAATTAAGAATCACAAACGGCTGCATTCGAGTCTTCAAGGCATTTTAGGACACAACATCGTCAAGTAAGTAACTTTAACAAATGTTACAGTATTCACTGTAGTTGTCCGCTAGTAAAAACATAGTTTTATCAGTCATTATCCATGTATGCCTTTGTTTTGCATTTACTACAGTTCAGTGGATCAGGAGGCGCTGGCTGGTGTGACTGAGTGGAGGCGGGACTAATTTGCATATTCATAGATCAGCTATAGTAAATGAGGCACGGGTGTGGAGTTATATTCAAGCTATTTTAAGGCATGAGAACATTATTTTCACAAGAAAAAACATTTAAATATGTCATTTTGATGAAGATAAGTTTTAAGGGATAAATTATTTGACTACAGGGGGACTTTAAGGAAAAATGACTGGAGAAGTGTTTGTTATGTTCTGACCATAAAGAATACCACAATTAACCATCTGGTTTGTACAACTTTCACAGTGGAGCAAAAATCTGCCTTTAAACTTGAAAGAAATAAACATGTAACATTTTTCGTGATAATTATCGATATCGACTGATATGAAAAAAAAATTGAGATAATTTTTTGGCCATATCGCCCAGCCCTACGTGTACGTTCCCTTGGAACTGGAATCATGGCGGAATTTCATGTGAAGTCCACTTCGCAGGGCACTTGCGGTCAAATAAGACCACGCTTGAATGCTGCTGAACAAGAAACCTCCTTACTGAAGGGAAAGTGTTGACTGGTGTCACTATCTCTCGAATGCCACCCTCCGCGCGTCGGTAGCCCCCCGGGATCACAACTTTAACAAATGTTACAGTATTCACTGTAGTTGTCCGCTAGTAAAAACATAGTTTTATCAGTCATTATCCGTGTATGCCATTGTTTTGCATTTACTACAGTTCAGTGGATCAGGAGGCGTTGGCTGGTGTGACTGAGTGGAGGCGGGACTAATTTGCATATTCATAGATCAGCTATAGTAAATGAGGCACGGGTGTGGAGTTATATTCAAGCTATTTTAAGGCATGAGAACATTATTTTCACAAGAAAAAACATTTAAATATGTCATTTTGATGAAGATAAGTTTTAAGGGATAAATTATTTGACTACAGGGGGACTTTAAGGAAAAATGACTGGAGAAGTGTTTGTTATGTTCTGACCATAAAGAATACCACAATTAACCATCTGGTTTGTACAACTTTCACAGTGGAGCAAAAATCTGCCTTTAAACTTGAAAGAAATAAACATGTAACATTTTTCGTGATAATTATCGATATCGACTGATATGAAAAAAAAATTGAGATAATTTTTTGGCCATATCGCCCAGCCCTACGTGTACGTTCCCTTGGAACTGGAATCATGGCGGAATTTCATGTGAAGTCCACTTCGCAGGGCACTTGCGGTCAAATAAGACCACGCTTGAATGCTGCTGAACAAGAAACCTCCTTACTGAAGGGAAAGTGTTGACTGGTGTCACTATCTCTCGAATGCCACCCTCCGCGCGTCGGTAGCCCCCCGGGATCACTAGATCGGTCGGCGCCGGACCACGAATTTAACCACCCGTAACTCCTGAACACCGGGGGCTTTCATTCGAAAGAGGGCCTCTAGATGTACACTCGATTCGCGTTCGAGAGGGGTCCTCGAGCTGAAGGGATCCCCCAAATTTGGTGCGGAATCGCCGTTACGGCGATATGGCCGTTCAAAGTTTCAATGGTTTTCCATAGACTTAAGCTTTAAAGCGTTTCATCCAGGTCGCCAGTAGCAAACAATGGAGCTCTGCTGGACAAACTAAGTAATTACACCATTTCAAGCATTTTATCTGCATTATATGTCCTGTAAAAAAAAAAGAGTCATATCGGCAGCATATTCGCCGATACCGATATATCGGCGACAGGCTCATATCGGACGATAATATCGGCAAAACGATATATCGGTCGGGCTCTAATTCCGAATATTTTACAGTTGGTTTGATAACTTTATCTCAAACGGTGTCAGAGTTTAATGAATTTAAGTACGTAGAGTATGTTAAACATATCAAAAATATGGATTCAGTATCGTATATAAAAACAATAAAGGCTTAATCAGAAAAAAAAAGCCTTGTGCATTATAGGGAATAATATTTAGAGATTTTTACAGTCGGTTTGATACCTTTAGATCAGGGCTGTCCAAACTCGGTCCTGGAAGGGCCGGTGTCCTGAAGAGTTTAGCTCTAACCCTAATTAAACACACCTGAACCAGCTAATCAAGCTCTTACTAGGCATAGAAACTTCCAGTGAGGTGTGTTGAGGCAAGTTGGAGCTGAACTCTGCAGGACACCGGCCCTCCAGGACCGAGTTTGGACAGCCCTGCTTTAGATCAAACGGTGTTGTCGTTTAATGGATTTATATCACTGCACACATTAAAAGTTGTACAATTATTATAAACACATAAAATGCTAATTCCAAAAACGGAGCCTTGTGCAATAACAGTGATGTTTTTTCTGAACATTTTAGTATTGGTTTTATAGTATAATGTCATGTAGTTAAATTATTTAATTAATTTATATGGTTAATTTATATATTTTTCTAGAAATTAAACCTTGTGCAACGTAAAGGGCATATATTTATGTCTATCTGAGTTAGTTTGGCCTCAAAACATAACAGGCGCAAAGAGTTGAATTGGTATGAAACCTAATGTCTAATGAATGTCAAACGCATACTGTGGTCAACGTCAAACTAACTAACTTAACTTTAACTAACTTTACAATTAGTCTTGTAATTATAACATCCGGGCCCGGCATAGAACTGTCTCTCTAAATAAACGTAACGTAATGTCTGCTTATTTCTCCACATTTAAATGTTTTATATTATGAATAACATGCCTCAGCTCTGTAGCTAACGCAATTAGCCGGCTATCACACCCAGTAGCATCTGTTAACGTCCCGTAATGTCTGCTTATTTCTCAACATTTAAATGTTTTATATTATGAATAACATGCCTCAGCTCTGTAGCTAACGCAATTAGCCGGCTATCACACCCAGTAGCATCTGTTAACGTCCCGTAATGTCTGCTTATTTCTCAACATTTAAATGTTTTATATTATGAATAACATGCCTCAGCTCTGTAGTTAACGCAATTAGCCGGTTAGCACACCCAGTAGCATCTGTTAACGTCCCGTAAGGTCTGCTTATTTCTCAACATTTAAATGTTTTATATTATGAATAACATGCCTCAGCTCTGTAGCTAACGCAATTAGCCGGTTAGCACACCCAATACCAACTCTTAACGTCGCTCACTTTAAACTCAAACACAAAACTCCTTTTTCTTTTAATCCTTAAACGTGTGTTCTTTAATACCCCTATGGTTTAATATATCGTTATTAACACAAGGCACATATATTCATAAATGGTTATTATTAGTGACGGCTAACGTGCTGTTTTAGTAAACAGAATTAGTGAGTTTAGCTGTGATCTGCCGACTAAAAATAATTCATTAATCATTTTTACATTGTTGAACCAATATCTAATTTCAGGCACATTCTTTAGCAGTGATTGAAGGTTTTTGTGTGTGTACTTTGTAAATGTACTTACTGAAACAAAGTACAAGGAACTGAAAAGAGATCATTCGTAGCAGAAAATAAAGCAGTCCTAATGAATGTGAAAGATGTTAGGATTGGTGGGTTCTGAAATATCCATGACTGAAATGATCTCTCTGAATCAAAGCCGAGCAGTGCTTCCACTCCCAAAAGGTCCTCGCTGCAGCCTGTAGCACGATGAAGTAACGTAGCTGGATCAGATCCCATACGTATTGGACGTTTGACTAGCATGCGCAGTATTGGATTCTAATGCGCATGCGCAAAGTGGGGCTGTCATTGAAGCTAGTATTTAATGTAAATTAAACTGTAATTATAGGTGGGTTTCATAGGCTCACACAAATTATATTATACTGTGATTTTAAACTAGTAGTGTATTCAAACTTTATTTAAGCAATGATGGCGTAGTTTTTAATGAAAAAGTTTGGTATGTAAGCTATGTTTAATTTTTTATTAGTTTGATTCGTTTTAGAAATAAAACTCTACTTATTACAATTTTGTTTGTTCTTTATGAATAAAATTGGGTGTAACTATTGTCTTTATTTTTTCCTCTGATAGTCTTATAGTTCTGTTGATAATTCGTTCATGAATCAAATATAATTTTTTTGTTCTCACTCTCTGTGCTATACGTGACAGAGTATAAAAGTTATAGGCCTACTAAAATATGCAGACATGTTTTTTATACCATATACAAATTAAAAAGAAGAAAAACAATCCTGTCACTCGGGGTTCCGTATAGCCGGCCCCTTATCCCGGACTGTAAAGAATTGCTGTAATTTTTACAGTAAATATTTACAATAGACCACTGTATTTTGAAATGTACAGCATTACTGTATTTTGCTATGAATTGTGGGAACATGCTAAATAATTGCTGTCAATTTTACAGTAGTATCTAAGAATGTTTTTGCATTTTCCTATGTATTCTGGGAACTTGATTATGCTGTAAATGCTACAGGAGATCATGTATACATATATTCTTTTTTTTTATAGAAGAAAACTGTTGCACAAGTTTTGAAATCCAGTTTTGGTACTCAGTCAACTGTAATAAATACAGCCTTTTTAACGAATTATTTACACCATGTTGATTATATAATGTACGCATCTATTCGTTTAAAACAGTTTGCTTTAAAAACACACATGATTAGGCAACTACATCGGCGTAGCGCGTGCTTGTGATGTCATTTCGTCATCAGCAGCGGACATCTTGGGATTTGTCGCGACATTTAGCGCTCTTCAATTTTCGCGCTCAACTCCTGCACGCTAGAAGTTGGCAACACTGCGGTTACTAGAGAAGAGGACATCAAAAGAGTGAGAGTGAGAGTGAGGCGAGTTGAGGTGAGTGTATTTAACGTTACTAATTCATGCCTCAGTTAAAACGTGAAATCCTGGTGCTTCCAGTAATTATTTTACCAGTCATTAAGATATTTCATTGTGTAACTGTTATTTTTATTTTGTGACGTTTCAAAAGGGATAAATATCTGTTCAATTATATGCTACGGAATTTGCTTTTTGAGTCCAAAGTTACGATTAACTTTAACGGTAACTAACTGTTTTTTTTTTTTTTCCATCTTGAAAGTGTGACCTGTCTGCCATATTACATTTCTATTACATTTTGATAACTGTTCAGTATAAAATAAGTTTGGATTGTTGGTAGTAGTCACGTAAACTTTAAAACATTGCAATTACATTAATACAATTTAAATTGTGTAGGTTTTTTGTAACTCAGTAACGTTAGTGGTTCACTCCACTGCCAAGCCATTAACTATTAGCACGTGTTTGTTCGATGGAGTTGCTGTAAGGATTTGTTTTTTAAGTTTTAGCTTTATGTTAATATCACTTATAAGGGTGCATGTAGTCATATTAGTACTTTAGTTGTTCACTAGAAAGTACATTGGAAATTGCTGTGCACATGCTACTTTGTTACTGAACATGTGGCTTGCACCAATGTTTTCCATCTTTTTAAGGTATGTCCAAACAGTGAGGTGCATGCTGTTCTGTCAAAGTATCAAGAGGGAAATTCTCTGGTCCTGTGCATCCTGCAACTCTTAATGGCCCATTTTAAAGAGAGAACAGAATCCCTTCTAATTGAAGCTGATGTAAGTAATATCATTTTGATTTTTAATGTCTTAAGTTTAACTGGTAATGCAAAATATTATTATCTATTTTTTTTAGGTAGCAGCAACTGCAACCGACATGGAAAGAAATGGATTACCGGATTCACACGCACTGATCTTTCAAGGCAATGTGTCTTACTTTGTCTCTATTATACACACTGTTCTTTGCTTTCTATTTCTATTATATTTATATTTTTGCCACCTCTGTTCATGTATTCTACTTCACAGTTCTATTCTCACTCCTATATTCCTTCCATTTGTTATTGTCTCTGAACCACTCTCTCTCATTAGTAACCATGGTCTTCATTATATTTTAGTTTATAGTATCAATGTCTTTATTAGTTAACATGAACTACCCATAAACCATGCTTTTACAACACTTATTAATCTATGTCCTTCTGTATTTCGTTTACAGGTGAATCCATGACCCCAAGCAAGTGGATGTTGTCAGTCGAAAGGGAAGTTGTCATTGGCCCATGTTCAGAGGCATTTGTTGAGGGCCTGGCAGCATAGTTTGCAACCTATTACAACTTAAACCTTGCTTATCAGGATGAAGCTGCATGCACCCTCGAAATTATTCAGAGGTATGTCAGAACATAAACTCTTACTTAATATTTATTGTAGACATCCAAATTTCCATTAATTTTTTTAGGTTTACAGGTTTGGACGGCTTATCAGGATTAGATGTTTTTTGGAAAAGTTTTCAAACAGCAAAAAAATGCTGACTGCGCACTGAATTGAGTACATGCAACCAAAGTCCAGCAAAAATATTTTATAAAAAAATCTATTACAAAATATGCAAACAAATATAAAACTATACAAACAATGCAGAACCATTAAAAAAATTTAAATTATTAGAAAAAATAATAACGAAAATAACAGGAAAAAAGGGCATATAAATAAAAATAAAGTCTATATAAAAATGATAAATAAAAGAAATAATTATATTTAATAAAACAAATGATTTGTCGCACATTTTTTGCAGCATGTCGCAGCCATCAAAATCAATTTATTTTCAATAAATACAATTAACTTGGTCAGTGAAACTATTGGAAATATTTTCTTTGGCCCTAACTCTTCGATAAATGAAAAAATAAGGAAAATGTGATTTTTAAAATGACACTTAAATTAATTATATTCTTTGAGTATATGCAGGGTTTTTTTTGTTTTTTTTTAAATCTGATGTGTTTTTTTTTTCCACAGAGGAATTGTGGGCATTAACCTGGAAACTGGATCAAAAGTTGCTGGAAAGAGAGACAAGAAAATTAAAGTAATGAACCCACATGTATGCACACTGCTGCGGAAGCTAATGGACTTTGAATGGCTTGCCATTTAAAAAAAAAAAAAGTTTTCCTATTGATTAGTTAATATACATGCAATGTCTTGCCCCTTCATGGATTTGGCAATTTAAAGTTAGGCACAGTTCAGACCCTTTCTTTTGTTTATTTAAACTAAGTTTATGAATGAAGTTCAGTCCCACTGTAGGGATGTTTAAAGCCTTTGGTTTAATGTGCAATCTCCATTTTTGTGTCTCCAAATATGTTTTGGAAAATGGTGTACATGTTAAATGAACATTATTGTACAATAAATTGTTAAATTTATGAAAACCTGTTATTTTGAAAGTTTTATTGTTCACATTACACATTGACAAAAACACTACTGAAAAAGTAAGTTTACACACTATCACAGCAGTGAAAAATCTCAACTAGTTAATTTAGTGAACTGAATTTCACAACAAATGCCCTAATTTAATGTAAAATGTGTGTATAGCAGTACAAGTTTACAGTTGCTCTTGTAATTTCACTCACATTTGTAAACATTGCTACTGTAATCTTACAGGGATAGCTGTAAAAAAACAACAATTTTACAGCATATTTATACAGCGGTGTGCTGTATTTTTACAGTACAATTTGTAATTATTGATTTACAGTACTCTTGTAAATTTAGTCTTACTGGCAGCCAAAATTTTACAGTTTTTTTTACAGTGCGGGTTATACCGGGCTTTTACAGTTAATCCCATGTCCAACAAATAAATACACACACGGTCGGGGACAAGGCATATTAACACAAAGATGACCATTTCTATTTTTTGTGTGTTAGGCTATATACAAGTGAAATGCCTAGAGATAGATAGACCAATTATAAATGGCTAAAGACAAACCATCCATTCCGTTACGAGAGCTCTCACAGCAAGCAATAGCCGTCATTTCAATGTCTCGGTTAAGTATAGACCCGATATAGTCCGGCTATGTGTAACCCACTTCTAGCCCAAATAACCTTGAATTTGGTTTCATGTCGTTTTTTGGCAAAATAACTTGTGAGATGTATGATATTCCATCATGTAAGCAAAGTAACAGCATTTACAAGCTGTTTGGTTTCATTTCTTTGACATGTTCAATACGTAGCCTGTGCATAGCCACGATTTAGCTCGTAGTCAGAGCAGCTATCTGTAGCCCACTTATAGTCAAACCTGACTCACTGTAGTGTTTGGCCAGGCAGCACATGAGATGGTTGATATCCCATCATGTTCGCAGAGTCAATAATATCTACAAACATATACAGTGGGTACGGAAAGTATTCAGACCCCCTTACATTTTTCACTCTTTGTTATATTGCAGCCATTTGCTAAAATAATTTAATTTTTTTTCTTTAGCTTTAGTTTTAGATTGAATTTGGACGGGCTACGTGTAGTCTGCTTTTAGCCCACCTGGCGAAATCGAGGCAAACTGTGGTCTAATTTTAATGGCTTGGCTATAGCCCTATACCTGTGACCAGACCAGCGATGAGCATAGCCAAAATAGCCTTAAAATTGTTTACGTGTAATTTTCACCCACGTAGCTTCTTATCAAATGCAAGTAAACGTTTGAAACATTTAAATTAGCATTATTTTATATTTTATTTCATTATCTTACAGCATTATTAAATAGCATTATTATGCCAAAAATAATGCTAATTTAAATGTTTCAAAAGTTTACTTGCATTTGATAATATGATGTCATGCATCCCACAAGTTGTTAAATGTTACATTCATACACATTATTGATATTCGGCTGTCTTTCATTTTTATAAATAAAAATGCAATTACAATTCCCAACCGCTAGATGGCAATTGTAGCCCTATTGAGACATGAGAGTTAGAGATCAGTGTTGTGTTTTGAATTTTTTTTACATGAGAGAGCACTAAGTTTACCTGTTGGAGAGCAGCGGACAAACGATAAAGGACATTCCTACTTGGTCTTGTAAGTATCTGTGTTTTCGTTTTGATGTGTTCATTTATTTATCTATATTATTTGTTATCATGTTTAGGAACTGTGACATTTTAGTGAAGGGAGCAGATCGTATTTGATAGTGACACGTGACTAGGCCACGGTTCAGCACGCATGTATTCAGAGGATTAATTGCAAAATTTAATAGAGTAAGTTTTATCATTTGTATGGGTTTACAAACTCAATCGATTTTAAAACCGCGCAAGAGCAAACAACAGAACAAACACAGCTTTGACAAAGATTAATCCATATTAATGGGGTGGTCCGCTGCAGAAAGAGGCATTTGAAAAGACTGCACTGTTCTCGGTCATTAGAGGTATGTGTATAAAACACACAACATTTACCAGAGAGCTTCTCTCTTTTAACACACTGAATGGTGATACACAATATATATCGTTTTTGTTTTTAGTTGGCATCCAAGCAAAAGAGAATGACTCCCTGTCACAATTAGTGTAATTAAAGTAAAAAATTATGTCAAGCTTTTCTTGTGCTTTTTTTTTTCTTATTTGGCAGATCCTGTGATGAGCAGCTTCCCGGCAGCAACCGAGTTGGACTTGAGGAATGCAGTTGGGAGGCATTTTAAACAAAAAATACAATTAATAATTTCCTTTTAAGTTCACTGTTGGTTGTTTTATTTGTTCAAAGTAAACCAACAAAAGGATTAATATTTTTTTATGTTGTCATTTATCCGTAATGTTAAGTGTGATAACATGCTCTTGATTTGTATTAGATTTTTTTTAAGTTATATAAAAATTTTTCATGTTTATATTTTTATTATCTGTCGGAGAGCAGCGGGCAAACAACAAATGATAAAGGACATTCCTACTTGGTCTTATAAGTATCTGTGTTTTCGTTTTGACATGCTTTCATTATTTATCTATATTATTTGTTATCATGTTTAGGAACCGTGACATTTTAGTGAAGGGAGCATCGTAGTTGATAGTAATCCGTGACCCACGGTTCAGCACACAAAATTTAATAGAGTAAAAGTTTTATCATTTATACAATTATCAATTATAAAAAGTTTGCAGCAGTATTAAAATAGTACAAATAGCTCAGATGTGCAATGCAGCATTAAAACCTAAACAGTACAAACAGAAAACAATGTAATAAAACGCTAGGGGACTAGGGGTTAATTTATTATTCCATGTACATTTGAGGTTAATGTTTGTACTGGGCTACTTTTGTAGTCACAGCAGCTATCACTGTGTTGTTATGAAGTAAGTTGTGCCAGACAGTTTTGGAGGCAGAGTCAGATTGTGGGGGACTCTAATAGGGAAAAACTTAAACTGCTGGAATAAAGAGTTTTAAAGGGTTAGTGATGGAAAACTTGCAGGTCAATGGGCATCAATATTTAAAGTTGGTAAACACTTGTACACGGACGCATATAATACTACCCGTCTGACATTGGCATGTGTTATTCAGGTGTCAAAGTTTTTCCAAAGAATTGAAGGAAGAAACCACAAAGACAGTGCCAAAAGGATGCTGGACAGGTAAAGCCTACAAATCTTGCCACATTAATCAAACATTGTGGTGTCAATACTCAATAAGTTACAACGCAAATCAGACATTTAAAAAATAATTCCTTTACTGGTCATTTTGAAATGTCAAACTTTGTCCGCAATCGTTAACCACCTCAATCTGTATTATATTT